TTTTCTTTTGTGAAGTGGAGCCTGTTAATGGGGGAGAAACCCCTATTGTTCTAAGTCATGTTGTATATGAGAGGATGAAAGAGAAGTACCCGGACTTTGTTCAAAAATTGGAAGAGCATGGTTTAATATATACTCGAGTACTGGGAGAAGAGGATGACCCTTCATCCCCAATTGGCCGTGGGTGGAAGTCGACGTTCTTGACTAAAGAGAAGAGTGTGGCCGAGGAAAGGTTTGTACTCTTCACCTCTTTATCTTAGAAATTGTTCGATTTTGGTGACTTTTACTTTTGCAGCGTTTAGCTTGGTTTTAGACTTTTAGTAAAAGCCTTTTCAATGGTAAAACTTATATTGAATTTTCGTGTTACTTAAGCAAAAGACAACATTCAGTAATCATTCCAATCTAGTTTTTATTTCCTTTTCTATCATTACATTATCCTGTGCATAACGGGTTTCTCTGTTTGCAAACTTTAGTTGCCAATCCAGAGAACTATAGGTGATTAAATTCTTAAAATGTTCTACTGGAAAATAATCAAATAATAGAAGACTCTGTTCGCAAACTTTAGTTGCCAATCCAGAGAACTATAGGTGACTAAATTCTTAAAATGTTCTACTGGAAAATAATCAAATAATAGAAGACTAACTGAACACCTATCAGGGCTGCTAAGTTAAACATGAAGCTGGAATGGACAGAGGATGGAGTGAAAACCATAATGGGCCCTATCCCGGCTATCAAATTTGACAGAACAAGGCAGCGCAAGATTTGGTTCAACAGCATGGTTGCTGCTTATACAGGCTGGGAAGATGCACGAAATGATCCAGTCAAGGCAGTCGCTTTTGGGGATGGAAAACCATTACCGTCTCATATTATCTACGACTGTCTGAGAATCTTAGAAGATGAAAGTGTTGTCATACCATGGCAGGAAGGCGATGTGTTATTGATCGATAATTTGGCTGTTCTTCACTCTCGAAGGCCATTCGCTTCACCTCGACGCATCTTGGCTTCACTTTGCAAATAAGAGAAGTTCTGAAGCAATTGTTTGCTGAATCTTTGTATCTAAATAAAGCTTTCTAAGTTTTAATTATAGCTGTTTCTCTTCAGTTTTGTTCAAGCACAGTTATCATATGCCATGGAAAAATATTCAACCTTTACCGTCATATATGTGAAATAAAAGTTTCTGTATGTGGTTCGAGGCTTGAGGTTTTCATCAGGTATCTTATAATTTGCATTTGAATACCATGTTAACCTGTAGAAATTTTCAATTTTTAGGAAACATTAGGACTGACAACTCAACATTCAAAAGTGAATTTTTCACTCCTTGTCTATTTAACGCTATGGAATTGGGTATCCACTTGATAGAAACTGGCAATGTGGAATGTTGAGAAAAATGACAGCAACACATTGGTGTGTGATAGTTTTGAAATAGCCCATGTTGTAAAACATCTTAGAATTCAATTGAAATATGTTCACTTTCAAGTCTTCATATCTTACAATTAAAATAAAATATTAATCGTTAACTAAAGTTCAATGTGATGTTGTATTAACAAGGTATTATAGCTGACAAAATTCTGGAGTTTAAGTTGCTTAGCATATGGAGTTCACGACTAGTAGGGAGCCGGACTAATATGTTAAAAAAAAAAAAAAAAAACTCATAAAAAAAAAAATGTACCCTCAAAAAATTGAATTGGGATAAGGGACTGAACTGGTACACTCCCCCTAAATCCGTCCTTGCGTCGTAATATATTAAATTTTTCCCGTATCTTTCTTATACACATCAGCATGACCTCCATATTACACAGTCAAATGAATGTGGACCATGCTATTCGTACATGGGGGTTTACACCCCCATTTACTCGGGCTCACCTGCCCCCCTCACAATAGGGGGGGCCACGATTATTTTATTCATCGTGGGCCCTCCCCTCATGTGAGAGGAGTGTAAACGGGGGTGTAAACCCCCGTGTACGAATGGTTTTACCCAATGAATGTATCTACGATCCTTCTTGGTATATAGATAGTAAAACTATTTCGTGATAGTTCATAGGAATAACTCTCATAGCTAGCAATGAGAATGTCAAGAAAATCTCGATATTCACTTTATACAGGTTCAATAAATTTATTGAACATGAATTATAATACCACCTAACAAATAAATATAATTTGTCAGTTCTTAACAAGAAGGTAAAATTGACGTGCTCTCACGAGGAAGGTGTTAAACACTGAAATACTCTTGGTGCCGTTACTAAGAGTGCCAGTGCAACACCAAGAATCGGGTTAAACGTTCAAATAGCTATTAAATCTTGCACAGTGCTTTTCATGGGCTATCAAATTTTAGAAGTTTTTTGGATGGTTAGCGAACTTATCAAATCGTTATTCCATTAGCCATTAAATTTAAAAACTTTTCGGATGATCATCAAACTTATCAAATCGTTATTCCCATTGATTATCAAATTTTAAAAGTTTTTCAGATAGCCACCGAACTTATAAATCGTTATCCCATCCACCGGATAGTCACCGAACTTATAAATCGTTATCCCATCCATCACTGAATTACTCACCGTTAGAAAACTCGACAAACTCGCTAACATGATAAATGAAAATACTAACATGGCACATTATTGTCATTATTTGACAAGAAATCAGTCAAAAACGTGCTTTCATATATTAAAAGCGTTTATAAAAAATGCGACTAAATTTTAACCTCTGCTTGTTTTCTTTTGCTTATATGTATTTTCATTTAGTATCTCTTTTTATTGCTTTTTCTTGTTAGTTGCATTTTTTATAAGCGCGTTTGGCTAATTTGTCATGAACTAATGACAATAATGTACCATGCCATCGTATCCATTTGCCACGTCAATGAGTCCGTTGAATTCTTAATGGTGAGTTATTGAATGATGAATGTGATAACGATTTTGATAAGTTTGGTAGTCATTTGTAAAACTTTTAAAGTCTAATAGTCAAATAGGATAACGATTCGATAAGTTCAACAATCGAAATTTTTTTAAAGTTTAATGATCAATGGGATAATAATTTGATAAATTCGATGACTATTTGAAAAATTTTAAAGTTTAAGAATCAATGAAAAATATTGTGCAAAATTCTGAAATTTTAATTCTCAGGAGTCTTGCTTCGAGTTTAAGCAGAGAAATCAATCCTTTAGTGGTGCCACCAAACCCTCTTCCCTGTATTTCTTGATCTTTGGTGGTGCCACCAATAAATTAGCTTTTCCACTATGATGAAATCAAGAATCACAAGCCAATAGAATCCCATCCAAGCCAGGCCAAGCCAAACTACCCTTTAAGTAGAGTAGAATTTAGAATCTATAGGATGCTGCATGAACAGTATAAATTTTCACGTCAAATGTCTATGTTATATGAAGCCTCTGTTTATAATGTCAATAATTAAGGTGTGTGATACATGATATCATTAATAATTATTCAAGATGGCCAGTGAGGTGAGAGTCACTTGATATGCACTCCACGTAAAGCACCACATGATAGACCGTCTACTCCTACAGGCTGTCTATCACTATGAGGCTCTTTACGTTCACATAGATTGTCTACCTCTATGAGGCTGTCTATCATTATAAGGCCATCGACCCTCATGAGGTCGCCTACCACCATGAAACCGTCTACCCCCATGAGGTCGTCTACTACCATGAGGCCGTCGACCCCTATGAGGTCTTCTACCACCATGAGTCCGTCTACCACTATGAGGCCGTCGATTTGTATGAGGTTGCCTACCACCATGAGGAGGCCCTCTACGTTCACATAGGCCGTCTACCACTATAAGGCAATCGATCCCATGAGACCGTCTACCACCATGAGACCCTCTACGTCTATACATGTCGTCTACCACTATGAGGCCAACGCTACACTTAACCATACAAATGGCAATGAGTTGGATAGGAACTGTTCAACGGCAAACGTGGGTACAACCAACCCTTTGAGGAGTGGGGGTCATTCTACCAGAACGTGGAAGAAGTGGGGAGGTTTACATGGGACATGTGGCACCATTAACTGTCGAACACATGCATAGCAACAGGTGCCTATAAATACCTTCAATGTGAGAAATATATGGACTCTTGAAACCCGAACTGCTTGAATTCGCATTATACTATCTTCCTGCTCCTCAAAACCGATTACTGATTCTCACGCCGGATGTACAACGAGGAGAAAGCCCGACCTCATTTTCCAGGTAGCAACCCCTGACTGGAGTAGCAGGAACACCGCACCCGTTAAGGTGAGCATGAAGGAGCAACCGCTGACTGAAGTAGCCAGAACACCGCACCTGTTAAGGTGAGCACGAAGGACAATCTCACAACTATTTCATTGGCGCCGTCTGTGGGAAATCACTGAACAAAAAAGATATGTCAAGGAGATGGACTAGGAGTGAAAAACGCATGGTTGGGAATACGACAGAGTCAGAGTTGTGGCAAGGAGTCATGACTCGTCATTGCCATCGCAATATATAACGCGGAGCTAATTTAATGCCTTGGAGACACAATTGGCAATCATGATGACCTTCCTGCAAAGTCAAACGCAAAAAATCGCATTCCCTCCATAGAGTTCATCGGAGGCCGTACGTGAGTAACCACCCCAGGTAGCGCAAACGGTTACCCCACCTGTTACTCAACCAACAACAGGAGACATGGGGGCTTCAGAGTCAGTGGTTCCACAGGTTCCCTAACTTGTGACAAACTTGGAAAGGAAGATAGAGGAGATGATGACCGAGAAAATAGACGATGCATTAACTAAGATGAAGGACATGTGCAAGAGAATGGTGCTGGAGGAAGATCATTTTGCACCCAAAATCATGGCTGTTCCTTTACTGAAAGGCTTCAAACAGCCAATGATAGAAGCATATGATGGAATCACGGATCCGTTAGACCACTTGCGGACCTTTGTTGATTTAAAGCTCTATGCAACCCCAGAAGCAGTGTTGTGTTAGACATTTTCCCCGACACTCAGGAAGGAGGCTAGAGACTGGGTGGCTACACTGGCACCCAGATCAATAAAGACTTTTGACGAGCTTTCCAGTAGTTTCGTGGCATACTTCATGAGTAGCAAAAGGAAACGAAAGACTGCCATTGGATTGATGTAGGTGGTGCAAGAGAAAGATGAAAACTTGCAGGAGTATCTGGCTAGGTTCAGCAGGGCGACACTTGGAATAAAAGACCTTCAAATGTCTGCAGGTGTAACAGCATTAATAAATGGGATGCAGAACTGGGCTTTCAAGATGCCACTCTCCAAAAACCCTCCAAAGTCGATGCATGACCTATTGAAAAAGGGTGACAAGTACATTGACGCAGAGGAAGCAGAGAAGGTCACGAAAAATCTTAGAGGGAGATGGGAGACAGTAAGCCACAAGCGAAAGTCGGGTGATGTGTGAAAACCCATTGACAAGGACAAGCTAAGGAATGAGCGTATAAGTAGGGGGTACACTCAGGATCGGTCAGTCAGGCAGAGATGAGAGGAGGTCAAAGCCATCGCCGCTTTAAATACTTCGCTGGACAAGATTTTGATGAAAATTTGAGACATGAAAGAACTCGAATGGCCGAGACCAATGGCAGCATTAGCCGACAAAAGGGATAAGAGCAAGTATTACCATTTCCATAAGAACCATGTACACGAAACAGTAGAGTGTATACATTTGAAGGAGGAGATCGATTGCCTCTTGAAGCGGGATTTTTTGACTAAGTATGCAAGGAATGATCAAGGCAAATAGAAGGTCGATGATCGACCGCCGCCTAGGGCCGATGTTATAAATGTGATTGTTGGAAGAGTCGCAATGGGAGGAGACTCGAACTCCGCTAGAAAGAACTATACACGCATAGCTGGGGTCTGTTCCATTCAAAAAAAGGCTAGATTTGATCAAAGCATCACTTTTAGTGAAGAAGATTTAATAGGCGTGGTAACCCTCCATGAAGATGCCTTGGTGATAGTCGGCGACATAGCGGACTATGATGTTAGAAGGGTATGGGTCGATGGCAGAAGTGCAGCGATCGTTCTCACTTGGGA